ATTCTCATGTTTGTGCTGCCTTTAGAGCCCAGCAGCCACCAAGCTGTTAGAGGAGGTTAGTGGAGGTGTGTAGGAGCTCTCTCAGGCTGCTGGAAACTCCTAGCTATTGCATTGCTAGATTAAGGCATGGCCCTCAGGTAATTTGGTGCATCCCCCAATCCCCAGAAAAATGGTTGCCCCAAACTTGGAAGAAGCACAGGGCAGAAGCGCTGACAGGGTTACCTGAGCCCTGGTAGGAGCCATGGGGGAAGAAGCCCTGAGCCTGGGTACTGTCACTGTCAAACCTGAGCTGCCCTAAGACTCATTTGGAATGGCTGGGGGTGGCTGCTTTGAGCTCTAGGTAGAGTGGCAGAGGATAGAAGCCCTGAGCGTGAGCTGCCTTGGCTGCAGCTAGCAAGAATGGAAGCCCCTAGCTTGGTGCTTAGAGCCTCAGCAGGAGCTGCCTGAGGAGAGGGAGCAGAAGCCCAGAACCTAGGCTGTTCCAGCTGTAGCCACCAGGACCGAAGCCCCCAGCTCGGCAGGAGCTTCTGAGGGAAGAAGCCTTGAGATTAGAGCTGCAGGGATGGGGATGGAAGCCCAGAGCCCAGCTCTTAAGGCTGCTTAGGTGCAAATTCAGGGTGTACCACCCTGATTTCTGTGCTGGCTCTGGAGGTGGGTCTGATTTTTCTCAACAGTTACCATGCAAGGGAAGGATACTTTCTCTCTCCCCCAGTGTGGCCAGACTGGGAGTTTGGAGACTGGCCTGTCATCAGCACGGAAGATCAGATTTCATGGGGAAGGACTGATTTCATGGTCTGTGACACGTTTTTCATGGCCATGAAATTAGTAGGGTCCTGCATGTGGCCTTACCAGATCTGATGTGCACAGAGTCTATTGATAGTTTAATCTCCTCTTATAAGTTCTCCTATCAAATTGAAAATTCCTTTCCAAAATTATCTTGTAAGGAAAAGATGAAAATATCAGACTAAACATCCACAATTCCAGGATTTCCAATTTGAAAGGTGTAAGCTGTCAACCTAAGAGTATAATTAATAGAACAAGACAGTAACATTAGAAGTGATACAATGAAACTAAGAAGAAAAGTTGGAATTGAGCATTAGGTAGGAAGTTGCCCAATGGGAAGCGCTTGAGCTATAGAGGCAACCCTTTGAATAGCTGCATGAGATCAATGTTTCATTTATAATAGGATGTACAAAATAGGTTTCATAGAGATCCACTTCTTGGGCAGAAAGAACATTTAATTTGGTTGAGTCCTTAAACATTTTTTCTAAATCTCATGCAGCATAAAAATGGCTTTTTAAAAAAAAATCAGTGATGGCTTCCACAGCCCATGAATTAGGACCCTATCAAAATTACATCTGTGAAAAACATGTCTCAGATGGTGAAAGTTGATCTTTTGTGTGCTTTTACCCTATACTATACAGAGATCATGGGGGAGGCCACTGTTTCTCAAACTGAGGATCCTGAGCCAAAAGGGGAGGCAGGAGAATTGCAAGATTATTGTAAGGGGGCATGTGTGTCACTGTATTGCCATTTCTGCACTGCCTTCAGAGATAGGTGGCCAGAGAGTGGTGATTGTTTACCAGGTGCCCAGCTCTGAAGGCAGCGCTGCTGCCAGCAGCCATGCAGAATTAAAGATGGCTTGATATGGTATTGCCACCTTTACTTTTGGTCCACAGCTTTCAGAGCTGAGCCCTTTCAGAATTGCCACCCTTTCAGCCACTCAGCTATGAACATAGCAGCGCAGAAGTAAGGGTGGCAATATCCTACCATTCCATCCATACTTTTGTGTTGCTGATGTTGGTGGCACTGTCTTCAGAGCTGGGCTCTTGGCTAGCAGCTGCTGTTCTTCGGCAGCCCAGTTTTGAAGGCAGCGCTGCCATTAGCTGCAGCACAAAAGTAAGATACTGCAACCCTATTATAATGACAGCCCTCTTTTGGGTCAATTCCTATTGACTGTCTAGACTGCAGGGTTTTTTCGGAAAAAGTAGCCTTTTTTCGAAAACTGCACCTGCATCTAGACTACAGCCGCGTTCTTTCGAAAGTAAATCAAAAGAATGCGGCTTTTCTTTCGATGGCGGTACTCCTCATTTCACGAGGAAGAATGCCTTTTTTCGAAAGTGCTCTTTCAAAAAAAGGCATTCTTGAATGCAAACAGGGCTTTTTCGAAAGAGAGCATCCAGACTGCCTGCGTGCTCTCTTTTGAAAAAGCGGCTCACTTTTTCGAAAGAAGAGATTGCAGTCTAGATGCTCTTTCGAAAGAAGCTTTTTTCGAAAGAGGCTTGCAGCCTAGACGTAGCCATTGTTACAACACTCTGAAATTTCAGATATAAATATCTGAATTCATGCACTTTCCTAGTCATAGGATTTTTAAAACTGTAAACTGACCAGAAGGGATTGTGAATTTGGTAGTGCCCTACCTATGTGGTTCCAAACAGTTGTGTGAAATCAAAGAGAATTAACAATACCCTTGGAGTACATGTATCATCACTTAACAACTCAAGCTAGTAAACACACCAAAATGCATATTATCCACACATACTTCAGCTTTAAGATGCTAAACAAATCTGAGTTAACTAGAAATATTTACAAGGAGAGCATAACTAATACAATATTTACTGATACTGGAAAGGAGAATAAAAGACATTCACTAAGGCTTATACAGTTACTCTGGATCCATGCTATACAAGAACAAGTGAAAGAGACCAGTTAAAACAGATAAAAGTTCTCCTACTTTGAAACTTTCACCTTGGCTGTGTCTACACTGGGCCACTTATTCTGGAAAAGCAGCCGCTTTTCCGGAATAAGCTGCGAGCTGTCTACACTGGCCCCTTGCATTTCCGGAAAAGCACTGACTATCTACTGTAAGAAATCAGCTGCTTTTCCAGAAAAACTATGCTGCTCCTGCTCAGGCAAAAGTCCTTTTTCCCGAAAACTGTTCCAGAAAAGGGCCAGTGTAGACAGCCCAGTAGTCTTTTCCGCAAAAAAGCCTCGATCGCAAAAATGACGATCGGGGCTTTTTTCCGGAAAACCGCGTCTACATTGGCCACAGACACTTATCCGGAAAAGGCTTTTCCAGAAAAGCGTCTGTGGCCAATGTAGACGCTTTTTTCTAGAAATACTTATAACGGAAAACTGTTCCATTTTAAGCATTTCCGGAAATTCATGCCAGTGTAGACGTAGCCCTTGTGTGTGTCACCAACTCAGAGTAGATACCCCGGAACAAATTAACACATGGCTTCAGGGTTTGTAGTCAGATGCATGTTTCAAAGAGCTTGTAAGTAAGGTTTCATCCTACAAAACAACTAGCATCACATCTAGTACTTGCTATTTCTGACTCATAAGAACCAGAACTCTACCACATAGCAAAGATCTGGCCTTAATGCAAACAGAGGACTGCAGCAAGTGAGTTGGGACACTCCAAACAAACTGCCCCCTGCCTCCACCTCACTGCACAGATGCCAGCACCTACCTGTCTCCTTTCCCCCCACCTACTCCTGTGCAATCTGCTTTCCCCCCAGCCTACCCGGAGGCTGGGATAAAATCCTGTTTCTCAGATCTGCAGGCACAAACTACCTCTCCACCCCTCCCCCACCTCACTCCAGAACACTACAAACTCCCTCCACCTCACCCCAATGCCAGCACCCACCCATCCACCCCCTTCTTTCCCTCACCTATCCCATACACTCAACCCCTTACTTCCCCCTTCCCAGCCCAGGAGGCTTGAGGAGAGTGCTGGGTTTCTGCCTCTGCCCTCATGCAGATGGGATTCTCCAAAGTCCCTTCCCCTCTGACTACCCCCCAGCCAATTATTCCCTCCCTCCAACCACTTATTCCCTCTATCGCCCCTCCTTACCTGCTTTGGGAACTCCTCAGTTTCAAGCACGCAGTAGCTCCACTTGAAGCTGCTGCTTAGCAAGATGCCCCTCCCCATACTGGTCAGTTGAGCAGGAGCACTGAACTTCTGAGTGGGGCTTGGGAAACAGCTATTAGGTCACAGCTATTTACTCTTGTTTCTCTCCCTCAATACCTCCTTTGCAGCAACTTCCATCTCTGATTTTTTTTTTTTTGAGTTAACACTCACCACCTTTTCCATTCCATCTGCTAAAATAGTTAACAATGGAATAGTTAATGTTGATTTTTAAGTACTGTCATTGGGCTTTTTATTTGATTCTCCAGTAAGATTTCTGTGTGATGGGGTGTTCTTACCTGAATCATCATTTTTGGGCTGCCTTCTGCCTCAGGGACATGACATTGCCATCCAGACATTAACTGAATATAAATCAATCTTTATAGTCATGGACTAAACTTTATTTTTTTAAGAATCAAAACTTAGATTTTGGACAGACTAAAGCCAACCTGAAGGCTGTATGTTTGACAGAAGTACTTGAAACCAGTAATCTCCACCTTTCCAGGCTACTGTACCCTTTCAGGAGTCTGTCTTGTGTATCCACAACTTTCTTCTCACTTAAAAACATTGGCTTACACAGGCAGACAAAAATGTCACAGCACACTTACTGAAAAATTGCTTTATATCATCCTTTTAATTATAAAATCAATTGGAATATAAATATTGTACTAATGCTTAAATAAATAGGGCAGTATAAACATGTCATTGGAGGAAATTTGTTTGTACTGATTTAGCTAGGCAAATAGCTGAAGAATTCTTTGTATGTCTATGGGTACATGTACCCCTAGTTGAGAACCATTGTTTTAGAATCTAGATTTGTTGCCTTTTTTAAATCCTTATTTAGTGCTTGGGTGAGGATTTTTTTTTTAGTGGCAAGTCAAAATAACAGTTCATATTTCCTTGTTTGTCTCCCTTGTAAGATGTGATGCATCCCGTTTCTTCAGACAACTTAGTTTTTATTTATTTTTCCTTGAAGTCTTGTAAGCTCATTTCAGCAATTTATATTATTGCCATATATTATGCATTTTTTTATCATGTTATTTCAAATACCAGGAAGATAAAGAAAATGCTAATAGACCACCATGGAATCAGCCAAGCAACACTCTGGAAATTACTGCTGCTTCAAAGAGCAAAACCTTAAAAACTACCACTATATTGAGAAACTCAACTGTGGGAACAAATTGCAGTCCTGAAGATCTTAATTTAGCAATTCATGCTTCCAAAGATGAAGCTGTTGAAATAAAAACCTATCGTGTGTCTTTTAGCCAGTCCTTCCTGCACAAAAGAAACATCAAAGAGAAGCAACTGATTGCAGAGAAGCAGAACACTAATGCCAGCCTGCCAAAGAAACATGTGCCTGGCTCATATTGTGGCAAGATTATCTCATCAAAGATAAACTCTTTCCGAAATACACTAGAAAATGAAGATGCAAAGAGTTCTTTGGCAAACAAGAAACCTATCATTCCTGCCACCAAACCAGCAGTGAGACCACCATCCACCACCAGCAACAATGCAGTCAGGAATAATATTAGAGCCTCAAATTTGGCTAGTGCTGCTAAACCTGTACATGCCACCTCCTTCCAGAAGAAACCTATGAGTGCTTCTCATGGCACCCACTCAAAGTCCATCCAGAGCAAGGAGAAACAAATAGTAACAAATGTATCAATAAATAATATGACTGTCCAGAGACAGCCTGATAGAAGTGGACCACCACCATCATTAAAGACAGCTCTTCGTGATGCTAAACTCACCTCTGTGCCTAGGGCAAAGAGAACTGAGGTTCCATTGAGGGATGTCAAATCAGGAACTTCTGCAAAGTCTGTTTCTGTAACCTGTGTTACCAAGGCCACCCAGGATTCAAAGGCTGGCAACAGAAAACATGTTCTGCCAAAAGAGTCAGCAGATGAGCGAAGGTAACTGGATTAATCCAATTCTTTGGGGGAGGGGTGGATGGAGGTAGTGATTCTCCCCCCTCATTATGCAGCTCTCAATAGACTTGTTTCAGCCATAAAATGATGTGCTCATATTGCTTTTAGATTCACTGTTTTATATATAGGAATTTTTATGCTGGGAACTGCAATCGAAAGCAGTCAGACTAACAACCAAGATTAAAACTAAGTAGTAGAATTCAAATATTAATTGCAGAGGCATTTTAGGCTCTTGATGTGTCCTGCTTTCGTTAGTTTCTGCAGCATCAGAAATACATCTCCAGTCTCTGAAGCTGTGTTGTGTTAACTAGTTTCAGTTGTTACTGGCTAATGGCTGTATGAAATTAATTGGTGGTATTGGTGCAATTATCTCAGATACCCATAACTAGCAATAATTGGCAGTTTCAGCATAGGGATGTTAAAAAGTGGTTAACTAGGTAACTGTGTAACCACTGAGAATCTCATCTTCTAACTTCAAACTCTCCCACTCCTGGGTGCCAGCTGTGCTGCAGACTCTGATATATAAACTTTATTACAGATCCTACAGCATGGGGCAGCAGCTGGCTCCCTGCAAGCTGGTATGCACTGGAAGCCGGCTCTGGCTCCTGGCCCTGCCCCAGGGAGCCAGTGTGTAAACATTACAGTAACAGATAAGCATGAGCCTGTCGGCTAACCATTTAAACAGTTATACTATTAAATCCTTATTTTGGGATGAAGCCCAATGAGAATAGTCTTATCTGGAAATGGCACAGCCCTTCTGGAATAGAATTTAGGCCTGTTGTGCTAGGGAGCTTGCACTGCCACTCCGTATGTTCTGTCTGTACAATGAATAGAGAGATTTTGTCTTTAGGACTTTGTCTAGTGCTTCTCATAAGTATAAATTCAAATGTTTGTTCCTTAAATTTAAGAGCCATGCCATTAAAAGCAGTTCTCTGAACTATGTAGGAAAGCAGAGTTAGTAATGGGTTTTTGTATTTGGGGGTGGGTGTTTTTTGTTGCATCTTTACTCTTTTGCTGCTGTTGGGACAAGAGAAGACTGCTGATCATATCCATCTCTAGCAGATGGAAGTAGTGGCATCAACTGTTTCAAAGGCTTTCATCCAGGCATAGGTGATAGATGAATAGCTTGATGATTATGGAGAGGGGTGAATTAGGGGATCCTTGAGAACTTTCTTCATCTACTCACAAACTGTTTTTTTAGGACTTCTATGTTGATTGGCCTTAATCTCTGTATATATGGTGGAGAATAAGCTATTTTACAGCAGATGCGAATACACTGATTTGCTTAAATGCAGAATTCGTCTGGCTGAATGGAAGGCAGACAAAGGAAAAGTGATTAAGAGGCCCCAATGTACTGTGCTACAAGTAGCCCAACCTGAGACACAGACATCACAAACTGAAAAAGAACCAGTTAAGTCTTTTTGGGCTACCATAGCAGAAGAAGATGAGCAAGGATTATTCAGTGAAAATGTCAACAAAACTCTTGCAGAATGTCTACATTTAACAGAACAGGTATTACTTTAGTTGTATACTAATATTGTTATCCCATGTGCTCTTACTATGTGGCATTCTCATTGATTTCAATAGTAATTTCATTCTTGAAGGGCTCTTGTGATTGAGCCCCAAGTAACCAACCACCTGATTTGACACACAACTTTTATATGGTGCCTGCTATCAAAGTGAAAGGAAGTTAATTCCATAGTTCACTTGTTGCTTTCTGAATTTATTGAATCTTTTTATAAATGTTACCTAAGTGATGTTTCCAGAATTTGGAGAAGAGATTATCTATTTCCTAACACTCTGTACAGACTAGTTTCATTTTTGAAGACTAGGTGGTTGAATGGCATATCCTAATGAAATGGTGATTGTAGCACATTCCACAATAGTTTACTTTGAAATATTTTTCATAACTACCAACTTAATCAGGATCACTAGAAAAAACATACAGGCTGAACTTCTGTTGTTTGTCTGTGGTCTGGCATGATTTTAAGTAGCCAGATGTCCACTTATCATGGTTGTGGCTAAGTTTCCCTTAGGCCCATAAAATTTTACAGTCCTAGCTCTCAGTATTCTGTTTTGTTACTTAATTCTAATTTACCCCTAAATATCTTCTATGAGGCCAGTAAGAAGTGGAAGTGTTGGTAATGCTTGACCTCTCGTGTTTTTGGCAAATTCTCTGGCTCAGCACCATTCAAGTGCCCAGGGTGCCAGCCCAGAGAGGTTCAACCTATAAAAGCAAATACTAGTTTTCAGTAACAAATGTCTAGTCACTTTTGTTGGAATGTTAAGATTCAGTCTTCCTATTGTCTTTTGTAAATATTAAGGGTTATCCTGGGGATGAAGTACGTGCCATGCTGGAAAAATTGATTCAGAGAGTTCCAGATGCAAAAAAACTTGCGAAATATTGGGTGTGTTGCATGCGTCTGGAACAGAAGGGCCCAATTGAAAAGATCATTGCGGTTTATGAAGAGGCAGTTCTGGCAGGAGCACAGGTGAGAAGCAGAATCTTACTTTTTTTGAAAAGGAATAATGGATGTAAAACTGGTGCATGCAGAAAACCTGCTTATATTGGGGTAGTCAATAGGGGCTGAATCTAGAATACCAGATGGTGGTGTTGTTTTTTTTTTTTTCACTGAGTCCTAACATTTTTATGTACTTTTATCATATTATTGTTAAAAATAATTTTCTCTACAGTCTGGATTTTGAATACACTTTGGTCAGTAAATTTGGACTCTGACAAAAAAAAAAAATCTATCCCTATTCCATATATTAACGCTAGGGATGTAAGTGACTAGTCAAGTAACCAGTAATCAGGTAGGAACTCAACTAGTTGCTTCACCTACCCACCCTTGCTGCCTCCATCAGAGAGGCATCAAGGAGGGGAGCATGAGCTGGTGCTTGGGGAGCCTGCTTAAAAGCTGGTTCCTCCCCGCCCAGCACCATTTCTGCGGGAGGCAGGGGGTAGCGGGGGAAACAGCACAAGCAGGAATTGAAATGGGCCCACTTGCACTGGTCCCACTGCTGCTCCTCTCCCTTTGGAATGTACAAGAGCTGTCTACGGCTCTTGTACATTTCAAAGGAAAAGACACAGAGGGGAACCCCCTGCCAGCAGGGCCTGCTTTGCTCCCAGCTAGTGGTTCCTGCTGCCTCTCTCCCTTTGAAATATACAAAAGCCGCAAGTGGCTCTTGTACATTTCAAAGTGAGAGGCACAGTGGGAATAGCGCACATTTCCCCCTTATCAATTAATTCAGTAGTTGCTGGAAATTCCATTGACTACCCAATTAGCTGTTTAATCAAAATTTAACATTGGCTTTTGCTAGCAAAAGCCAAACTCACATAATTGAGTTAACTAAATATACAAACTGCATAAGCATCACAAGCTTTTCGCAATTGTGAATCTTTTTGCATTTATGCTGTAACAGTAAACAAGTTCTGCTTGCAAGCTGAGAAATGCTCATCAAAATTAATTTTTTTTTCATAAACTGAGCATTAACTTCAGTGTATTGTGTTAGCTTTGTTAATCCTAAATTATTAGAAAAATGGTAGGTGAGGTAATCTCTTATTAGACCAACTTCTGTTGTTGAGAGACAAGCTTTCAGGTTGCACACAGGTCTTCCTCAGGGCTTGGAACGGTACTCAGAGCCATAGCTAACTACAGTAACAAACAGAATGTGTCGTCTACCTATGGTTCTCAATTACTCCGTCTCAGAGCTGGGAGTTGGGACGCAGCTGAGGGATCCAGGACAGACAGGTTGGGGTCACAGGGATGAGTCTTTGGAATTGAGTGGGGCTGGAGACAGAGCCACAGCCAGGGGTTGAGGTTGGGGATGGGAGGAGAAGCAGAGTCATAACTGGGCCACAGGAGGAGCTGCAAGTTGGTCCTGGGGCTTGTTGTGGAGCCACTCTGAAGCAGGGGACAGAGCCAGGTGTGGGGACAAGAGGCATGGCTGTACTTATGATGGAGGGGCCGGGTGGCGTTTAGTTTCTGCCCCTTCTGGCGTCTGGCCTGGACTCTATGCCCCCTCTCCTTGAAAACACCTAGGAGAGTGCGCCCCCACACTTTGGGGGACCTCTGCCTTCAACATAGTCTGCAAAAGATTTAGACTACATAAGTGAATTTTGTTCAGTAAATTTTCAGACAGGCAATAGATTTCCAAAGAGCTCAACAGCTTGATTGAAAACTTGAGAGATGTGTCTGTACTCCCATTCAAAAATGTTTAGGGCTTCACAAATGGGGAAAAAAGGTTGCATTGAGAGCCTTTGTTTGAAGGGACCATTTACCCTGTGTGAGCCTGCTAAGACCTCTGTAGTCATATGCCAAAATGGGAGAGGAGTAGTGGGTTATAGATTATAATAAGTAAAAAATCCACAAACTCTAAGCAGCACCTGATCCTGGCAGAATGACAGATGCAAAAAAAAAAAAAACCCATGGGTTCTATACATGCCTATCATAACATCCAAAGCACAGAAATCTCCAGTCATTATGTGGGTGAAACCAGGCAATCATTAAACTCTCAAATGAGCTTGCACAGAAAAATGATAAAAGGACAAACACCACATCACCTGCAAGTGAGTACTTTTTACAAAGCCCTCACTATGACATGTCAGTCCTTCTCCTCAAAGGAAACCTTCACAACACGTTCAAAAGGTGAACCTGGGAGCTCAAATTCATAACTTTGCTAAATACTAAAAATCATGGTCTTAATAAAGATTTATGGCTTATTACAATAACCTTAAAAAAACATAGTCTGGTAGCATTTTATAGACTGGAAGGGTTTGTTTACTTCACCTTGAATGGTCTCTTATTTAGCATAAGTAATTAGATATTCTATCAGATAGTAAGTACCTTTCCCAGACTGAAGAGCACTGTGTAATTCAGAAGTTTCTCTCACCAACTGAGGTTGGTTTAATAACAGTTACTTCAGACACCTTGTCTCTAACTTCTCATGTTACGTAGATGTTCTTGTTATGTTTATTTGGAGGATTTGCTGACTGTAAGGTTGCAAAAGAAACAAGACTTCAGGTTCCAGCAGGGAACAGTAATACCAACACATTGCACAGGATGAATCATGTACAACGTGGTAAAGTTCATGTTGCAATCTTAACTTTCACAGCTAAGGGTTTTATTTTGTTTAAATTCTCAGATTGCAGGGAATTGAGGAGAGAGTTATTTAATAGAACAGTGGATGATGAGTTTCAAAAAGCTAAAGCTTTGTAATTGTTAAATACAAATTGTCAACATCATATGTTCAAATGTATACAGTAAATACCTTTCAATTGCACTGAGTGCTCAATCAGCATTTTTCTAACTTTGCCTATTTATACACTTCAAAAATATTTTTCATTTTCTGTGAGCATGCATGCACACACATTGAAATAAATATTTACTGATAAAAATGTAATCTTTCTAAACCTTTCTATAATGGCTCGCAGATTGTAATGTTCAGAATATAATTTGCATTAATGTAGTTTGTATTGCCCTATTTTCATTTTTCACATTAAACTGTAGAATAACTATGTAGGGATTACAGAGTCAGTTTCACAAAGTTGACTTTATGGGCTGTTAATGGAAGCAACTTTTCTTCCAGCCAAAGGATGAGTTACGACACACAGTAGCAGATATTATGAAGAATAATGAAAATCTTCCAAAGAATAATGAAAATCTTGGTAAGAGAGTATTCAACTTCTTTCAGTTAATCTAAGATTCTGACTCATGAATAAAATGCTGATACTTTTTTAAAAACAGTGTGCACCCTATCTTAGTGTCATGGTATGGAAGCTGATCCATTTGGTGTGTCAATTTCAAATTGTCTGAAACATAATGCAGACTTATTGCTCCACAGCTGCTAGCATGTTGCTAAGATTGACAAGCTACACTAGCAGACAGAGCCCCAATCATATAAATTTTTTCCAATTTTTATTTTTTATTAACTCTGTGAAGTCCAGTCTCTTCAGCCTGAGGTTTAAATATATCAAGGGTGAAAATCCATAATTGGTGTAATTGTCTGAGTGGCACAAAGGTATCTGCAACTACTTGCAAATTTCTTCTGAGGAATCATCCAATATGATGAATTAAAGGTGCCGCCTGTGGTGTGGTGGGCCTCCCTGCAAAGTACTATTACACCTGCCGCCTCCTGAAAACCAGGCTGCTTTCAGGTATGTCAGGTTGATCTTCCAAAATCATTAGTTGCCTTCGAAAATTGTTTGATTCATATTTCTTGTGGAGAAAATAGTTTTAGCAATAGGTTAAAGTGAAGCTAAGATCTGTAAATATTGTGCTATAGATTGCTATTGCAAAAAATGGTGTTCAGAAGCTCTAGAATTTCAATTACTGGCTCCTGAAGAACATGGTGAAACCACTGACTTTTCCTTTTTGTTTTACACTCTGCTGCTAGTTACTAAATCTTTAATGGCAACCACTCATGACCGTGTTTCTACTTCTAATCTTTGTAACTTTCAGAGGAATGTGTGAAGGAAGAGGTGGTCGGCAAAGAAGCTAACTCTTCTCTCCAGAACGTAGAGGCAGTCTTCAAAGAGCTGAACTTGAATGAAGAGAAGGCAGATATTAGCAATGAAGTGCTCAAAAAAGAGGAAACAGATTCATCCATGAAGCCAAGACAAGAGACCTTACTTAAAGAAGATAAAAAGCACAGAACTAAAGAACAAAGAAAGCAGTCTGCAAACTGCAAAACTGAAGATACAAAAAAAGAGGCAACATTACAATTTAAGACCCCTGACAAAGAAAAAGAGGGATCTTATTTAATTAAATACAATTTGTCAACCACTCCATATTTAGAAAGGTAAGATGACTTATGGTAAATCATAGAAGTTCCTGCACTTCCTGAGTGTTTAGGGAAACATGTGTTTTTGCATCACAACTGCAACAAATCAAACATCTAGTTTAGAACTGGAATTCAAGAGTCTGGTGGTCTTAAGTGCTGCTTCTCCTTTTACCCCAATAGTGAATGGGTGGAGAAAAACTTTACATCTAAAAGAAAGTCGCTTAATAGGACTGTTGCAACTCAAATTTCTCAACACAAGTCCTCTGTCTTTTTTGGCATAAATATCAGTTACCTCCACATATTTGACAGGATCTTCTTAGTCACACAATTTAATTCTTTGCCTCTGGGGATTAACACTGGAGAACTGGGGATACTTACTCTAAACACTGCAAGGCAGAGCTTCCCCTGCTCAGGACATTGACAATACATTTATGTACTTGGGGGATGTGTGCCAAGCTTTGGAACCTGTATTACTGCCTTCCTGTGTAGACAGCTGAATGCTCTGGGGAGAGTGTAGGGGAAAAATTGGGGGGTGTGATTGAAATATATGTAAGTTTTTGCCTGGAGCAACTCTTGGCTAGCAAACATAGTGGCAAAGAACTCTATCCTTGGGCAAAATGAACTTGGTGTTTAAAACATACTTAACACTCCTCTGGATTTAGCTTTTGGGGGGCATTGCATGTGGTCATTATCTTCTCTTTGTTGGAGGTGGGGGGGGTTGGAATGGTATGGTTGGCTAAGGCAGGAAGAAGCATGACTTATTGTTTGTGTGGTCTCTGATTAGGCTTTCATGTGGGTCATCTTATGGAAAGACAGACTAAAAATGGCTCAATACACATTTTTAATCCACAAATGTGGCTTTTTTTCCCTCTTTTCTGAAGTGTGAAGAAGATGATGCAGTGTGAGGCAAATGACTCTGCTGTTAAAGATATAAAATTCTTAACCCCAGTAAGGCGTTCTCGTCGCCTTCAAGAGAAGTTGTGCAAGCTACCAAATATGTTAAAGGATCATGATCCCTGTGTTTCTTCACTTGAACAGCTGGGGGAACTCGGAGCTGTAACCAATGCTTTTATCTACAGACGGAACAGTGCACTAC